TGCAACTTGTTTACCCTTTTGGTCTACCAGTACAAAGATTGTAATTCATGAAATATAGCTTTTGCTATGAAAAGTTGTTTCCTAGGGGAAAACACAGTCTCTGGTAGAAAAGAATAAAACATGAACATATGTAAAGCATTTCAGAGTAAAATAAAAAGTTTGAAATGAACATACGCCTAAGCTAATTGAAATTAATTTTAGTCTATCCTTTTAACTAGCAGAAAGAAATTAGAGGAAAAAAAAAAATCTGAGAAGTACAGGAATTAAGAAGTAAAAGACAGAACCTGCTTCTCCACCTTAGCTTAGGAAAAAAGCTCCCTGCGAGTCAAGGCATTTGGAGTAAACGGGAGTGTTTCAGCCCTGTGGAAACTGCTGGCAACCAGCTACCAGCAGACAGAGTCTCTCAGGCCCTTTTTCTGCCTCTGAATTTGCTCCTCCTCCCCTCTGAAACCCACACAAGAATCCCGCACCCTCTGAGATCAACCAAGAAGAAAAAGTGATTTAGGTATTAGAGAGCAAAGGCTCAGAGGGCTATAGCACATTGCAACAGTACACACAAAGGCAATTATATCTCACAAATTACCTTACTTATTGTTTCAGTGACTCAGCTTATAGACAGGGTATTTCTTACCCTTCACTTGCTTGATCAGGAGCTGCTGCAGCTCTGGACTTCCAGTACTGGACTGCCTCTCCCTATTTTCCTCCACTGAGCTCCTCTGCGTTTCCCAGATACTACACTCCAGTCTTTAAACGCAAAGCAAAATTTGTGCCCACTAATGCAGCCGTTACCGTGATGGCACACAACCTGCACTAAATGCACCACGCACCAGCTCACTCTGTGAGCTTTCTTCTGCGAGAAAGTTCTCTCCGAATCCGCCCAAGAGCTTCCCGATGCCGAGATGCCTCCACTGCCCACGGCAGGCTGTGGTCAGGGCTTTTGACTCATGTGGACAGGGATGAGGTTGTTCCTTCTTGTTGGTTTGTTTGCCGGATCACAATTTGAGGCTTTTTATTATAAGGTTTTTCTTTTTCCAGCAGGGGAAACGCTGCTCTAGCAGCAGAGGCAGGCGATGAGGCTGCTGTCTTGCAATGAAGTTTCACTTCCCTGCTTTAACACAGACTTTCTACACTACCACATGCCATCTGCTTGGCAATTCAATGTCTCTGTTACCCTCCCCACTCTGCAGAGATGCTGGGAAGAAAAAATATAATAAAGATTACGACAGTCTCATTTACTACAGTAATAAGGGCTTGATGAAAAGCTCAGTTTATGACCAACACTAAGTAGGATGAGCATCTGTGGCGTAAGCGGACACATCCATCCCCAACTGTAAAATTTCAGCAGCAACAACAGCTTAGCCATAGCAGCAGAGCTAGTGTCACCTCTTTGCATCCTTCCCTGCTCGGACTTTTGGTATCTTCTTAACACCCAAACTCCAGCGACCAAGCTTTTGCAACTGATGGTACCCAAAGTAGAGCAACATCCAGTGCCCCAGCATCTCTGCCTGCCACGCAGATGGACCTTAACGTGGGAAGTGTCTGACGAGACAGTGTTCGAAATTGTTCTGCAGAACTCAGAGTGCCTCTGGTACAGAGGAAAACTTCTTCAATTACGGACAATTTGAACCAGACCATTTAGAAATAGAAGCACTTTAACGGCGACACTAAAGCAACAGTGAAATAAGGTTTTGGTACGTTTTCACCAAGGCAGACAGATGCTTAGCTGGACGCTGTAATCTGGTCTGTCCTTAGGCTGGCAAAAGAGCTACGGGAAGCACACAAAGCATCATCCGCTGCCTAATTCTTGTAGCTCAGTAGCTTATTTTGATACTTCAAGTTATGACACATCAGCTCAGAGGAGAATCTGTTTCTTACAAGGCGAAATTATTTCCCTTAAATTCGTAACATGGTCAATAGTGGGGCAGGATAACCACCCCATCCCATCCTTCAGAATACGTGCAAAAATACAGGTAGCATTTCATCCTTTGAGTGACTTCTGAATCTGCATTTAGCCACATCTTCAGGTACAAAAAGCTACTCCCATAAATTTACAATCAGAAGTCCTTTCTCTTATTATGCACAGAAATAAAAGCTTACATTTGAACAGTACTGTTAACAATATATATTCAATGTTTAGGGCTGATGATAAATACAGCAAAAGAAAGAGGCAGGTTGCTCTAGTAATTATATAAAATGCAGCAGTCATTTGACTCTACAGTTGTAAGCTTTTATTTAGGTGAAGTTTTTCAGGATATAGAGAATTTTCACACACAATGAGAATTTAGGAGGTATTGTGACAGTTTATATTTCCATTCCATTTTCTTTAATTTCACATCTAAAACCACTTCACGTTGTTGAGATTTTTTTAAATGTGATTTCCTTTGAAAGCTTTGCTAAAACATTCTACTTAATTTTGGCAGCAAATGTAATCAAATAAGTTGTCTTTCTGTTTTCTATACGTCACCAAAACCACTGACAAAGTCAAGAAAAAAATTTCTTAAATCTGGGTTTGTTTTTACATTAGCTTTAACAGAATTACGGTTACCCCTTTCACCCCAGCCCCTGATGGACTTCATCTGGCCTCCTGGTGACCATACGAAACTCTGAGGACTTGGGACAAGGATGTAGGAAGAGCCTCCAAAGCCCAGGAGGGAAGCAGAGGAGGTTCATGGCAGGCAGGCAGAGAGGCTCGCTACGCTCTTGAGTCAATCAGCCCTTCCTTCACCCACCTGAGCCGTCCCCGAGGAGCAGCTGTGCTCCCAGGGATGTGCAACACGTCTTGCATTGCAGGGACAAACGAAAAATGCTCAAAGCTGGAAGCGAAGGATGAGAACTTGGCTAAAAGCTGTTTGCAAGAGTTTCCTTGCAGAGCACTTGCTAAGTGCCCGGGCCTGGCTGTTTAAACAAGGGCTGGTCTCCCACACGCTGTCTCTTGTTCATGGCTAATCCTGCAGCGAGGTCAAATAACGCCAGCTCTGAGTCACCACAAGCATCTCCAAGGCAACTGGCTGAATATACAGTGTAGACACATGATTATAGATTCACTGTTGAGTTCAGGAAGGAGGAGGAGGAGAAGGAGGAGGAGGAGGAAGAGCTGGGTTGAAATAAGTCATTCTCTTACTGAAATCAGAGTGGTCAGTGCTGAAGCAACACTGGACAAATGCATCGGTGTCAGCAGAGGGTATGAAAAAAATTGTTTTTTCCCATTTTGCTTCTCCCCAGCACCTCCTTCACCACTGAAGTCTTTTTGTCTCAGGTAGTTTCTCCAAAATGAGGTACGAGCACAGAAGAGGGTGTTATCCAAATGGTTGCTTTACGTCTGAGATGTCACCTCTTCCCTTGCACTGTGGCCCCGGACAGTGCTATCTGGCAGGAATGGGACTACCTTTCTGAAGGGTCTGTTAAATCTTTGTCTGATACAAGCTGTATTTTGAGACAGCACCCATCCCTATCTAGCATCCCATGCCACAAGATCATGACTCTACGAGGTTAAAAAAAAAAAAAAAAAAAACCCACCATTATAACTAAAGGAACAATTGAGAACAATTCCCTCCTTTCCCTCTGAATCATGGATGGAGTCAGATTTCCCACTAACAGCGACAAAGTGAGCCCCAGGGAGCCCTCCCCAGTGACTCAGTTACATCTGGGACCAGCAGGAGAGGCAGAGCCCGGAGCATCACCCTGGGTACCACCTGGCAGCCACCGCCCCAGCCACATCCACCGCTGCTCTGAGGACCTCAAGGGCAGCGATGATAGGAAAGCATCGCTCCCGTCCAGAAATCCCGTCAAGTACGCTGGTTCCCGCAAGGGCTGAAGGGGAACACCGAAGCTTTTCAGTTCCTTTCTTGGCGATGCAGCCGTGGTCCGAAGGAGGAGGTGAGGTCATTGCAAGTGGGGCTGGCAGAGCCCCACGCCCACCACACAAAAGCAGGGAAGGAGCCACCCCTTCTTCTCTCTCCTCTGGGAGAAAATAAGCACTAATCTAATTGATTGCATGGGCTCCAGTCATCACTAACCATAAAAAGACTTCTCTTCCCAAGCCCGCTGAACAACCTGAACAGCACAAAAAGAGGAGGAAATGAAAAAATACAGCAGCCAACTTTTCGCCACTCATTCCCAGGAGGAAAAACCCCTTAGTCCACATTTTACTTCACATGCATCTCTCATAAAACAATACTTATGAGATAGATAAAAAGGCAAACACAAGAAATACACTTGGTCACTTAAGCTATACTGTGTATAGTGAAAATGTCAGGCGTTTTTCTCACACTAGTATCAATGCGCTGCATAGCAACAAGTCAGAATGAAAGGTTAATGGTAAGGACCGCAGCCTGGAACATGCTCATTCCCACGGTCCTGAAGTCACCAAAGGAAAATGCTGCACTGATTTGTTTTGTTTTGTTAATGGCACGAAGGCTTAAAAAGAGCGGTGGGCTTTAATGTGAAAACCCACCCTGTCTGAACTGGCTGCGCTGGAGAGATGGCACCAAGCACCATACATTGCCTGCCACTGCAAGGGTTTCAGAAACTCTGTGTTGGCTCTGATCTGCACGACAGGATTTAGGGGAAAAGGGTTGCATTTCACCAGCACTGCAGCAATGAACCTCACCGAGTTAAGCAGATCCTAAGTGTAGCTAGGACTTACCAGGCTGTACACCATTTGGACAACAGCATCTCTAGCCTGGCAAATGTGTCCTCCATTATGTTGCTCGCGTTTAAAAGCTTTTTACTATGTGTAAATATAACTGTGTATTTTCTACAACAGAATCCCACAGTTACACATTAAATAATTGCAATCTCAGAGTCACGTAATTCTAGTGAAATCAAGCAAGAGATTTTTAAAAGGCAAAAGCAGTCATCCAAACCACGTGTTCCACTCTCTATGAATGTGTAAATGAGGAAAAAGAGAACAAACAAAACAGCATTACATTTAATTCCACTTGAATTAACCAAATTTCATAGGCTTATATACTGATATGCAAAGAAAGTCAATTGTTTACCAGGAGAAATTGTCTCCAGACTCCCAGGATTAATCTTTCTCGTGCTTGTGCAGTGTTGGACAGTTGACCCAGTGAAGACCAAGTAAAAAACTACATCATCTTCAACTTTATCTTCCTCAGTCAGCTGCACTGTAATAACAGAGTCACCCTAGGGAAAAGGACAAGCAAAAAGGTTAGGTTTCCATTTGTAAGAACTGCATCATATAAAATAAAACTTCTCTACCTACAACGCTCCTGCTCCCTGCTTGTACACTCCTTTCACACGACTTGGGGCCCATCCTAATTTTCAGATATGCAAGTCATCTTTAGTATGCCTCCTAGCACCACAGCCAGCCAACCAGCTAGAAAATATGTTGAGTGCAGCTCTGGGAAGAGATATGTAGAAATCTCAAGGGTATATTCAAAATAGCAACTTAATACGGCGAAATCACGCCAAGTCTGGCAAACACGAGCACACGCCCCACACAGGGTTTTTTATGCACACACATGCATATATACATATCCCCCCACATACACATATTTAAAACAACAGAATTGGGATAGCGGCCTAAAATTGCTTCTGTCTTCATAAATTTGAACAAATTCATTAATTCTTACTTGAGGGTTCATATTTCCCCCGTCCAAGCTAGCCACTCTGTTGATAGTTCCAGTGCAACCAACTTAATCACTGAACACATCTCTCATCCGCAACCCATAATCACACAAAGATACACAAGTTTCATATCCACTAAGATTTTTTGCACCTGCCTCACAAAAAAAACAGTAATTGCGGCTGTACAGACAGCAGTAGCTCTTCTCACTCATCTATAAGCTCATGCCTTGGTGAAAAGATATGTACATTATCAAAACCAACAGTTCTTCAAGCCCTGGAAAGAAATCTGTGGTGCTCTGTTGGCTGAACACTCCTGCTTAGTTTTAGGGAGGCCTTGTTTCAGTATCTTAGTACCTTCTACCATTTTGCTCATCTTTACCATCAGCAAAAATCATGTTCATAAAAGGTACGCATGGTTATCATGGTTAACCCAGCACAGGATACAGTAAACACACCTGAAATTCATACACCTGCATGGACAAGAACAGGAGCGATAGCCACCGAATTCAGCTTTCCACGGGGAAGGGAAGGCAAGGAAAGAGGATGGCTTGCAGTTACTACAGCACTAAGTGAAGCACGTTCATTCGATCTCACCATGCATGCTTTATCTGCTTGAAGAATTACATAAACTATGAGACGCTGAGAACAACAGGCTGTGACGTGACCTTCTGCCCCTTTTCTATCAAGATCAAAACCAGTTGGATGTCCCAGTTTTACACTGCAGCTGCACTAGCCAGCTCTCTGCCACCACCCCACTGAGCATACGGTTAAGGCTGCAAATCTGGAAAAGACTTTTTTTTATTATTATTATTTTTGCAGATTATGTAATTCCAATTTGCATATCCAATAGAATACACATGTAGTTTCATTTAAAACCTTCTCCTTAAGATCACTCAGTTCATCCCTTCTCTTAGTCAAATATAACTATTGCAGAAAGTCCAAGTCTTCCAAGCCCTCCTGTACATCCGTGCTGCGTTAGCATCGCTTCCCACGCTCCGTCTCGCGTCTCCCCCCGTTCTCCCTCCTATCAGCTCCTTTTATGCCCCACCACAGTTTCCTTCTACCAAGTTCATATCCAGTTCTCCTCCTCTGATCTGGCCCGTCTGGTACCTCTTGCCAGGGGCAGGGTTGCACCTCGTTTTGATGGAAACAAGGTTTTGCAGCACAGTACACAGCCAGCCCCTGGTCTTAAAAATAAATATATGGGTCAGCCTTATAACACACAGGAAAGAAAACCATTAATTCAGAAAAGATAAATGGAGCAGTGAGTCTACTTTACATTTCCAGGGGTTGCAGAGTTACAAATATACATTTTAGGAAGGGATCACATGATAATATCACACCAGACTTCCAGCTGGGGAGAAAGGAACCATGTAGCAAAAGTCTATCTTGTATACAGTCACTGTTAAAATAAAAACAGGTGCAAAAAGAAATCAATCAAACTTTAAATTCAAGCATGACCAGTTCACATGCTGAGCTGAAAACTAAATATTCCATTTCAAGCAAACGGATCCAGTTTTGAGCAGATGTTCAAAAAAATAAAAGCTGAAGTTTTAACCTACAAACCCTTTGTGCTTTGTTTTTCATATCCGTCTTTGTTCAAACTGTTCCTCCCTTAAGGCATGAGCGTACAAAGTATTTAAATGGACTTAAAATGCAGGTGACATTTCAAGATGCTCATCAACAGAGTTGACTGTTTGAAGTGTTAAAGTGGTATCTGTTAAAGGAGATTTTTGTTTTATTTAACTCAGAAATCAAGTGCTAGTCCAATTTCTGTGAAAGTAAAGCAAATCCACATAGAGCACATGAGAAGACACTTGTCTATCCATGTGAAAGTCACTTCCATATCAAGGAAAAGCAATTTAATTTGCAGCATTATTGCAAAAGCTATTTTGTATATTTAGTTATTGACAAAAGACATGTAAATACATGTAAAAAACCTGAACACCAAAGGTTCCGCATCACTTGAAATCTGTCTAAGCTGGGGCTTAAAAAAAGATAGCTGAACTTCTCATATAGATACCTGAATTTTAGGTGTGGAGCAGTCTCACCTAATTTTGAAGATGGCCCTGCTTTGGTGGGGTGGTTAGACCAAATGAACTCCAGCAGTCCTATCCAACCAAAATTATTATATTTATATTTTAATTCCATTTACTTTAGTTCATGTTGAAGTCTAGGGGAAGCACGTATTATCAGCTGATACCAATTTAAAAAACTCTTCAGCTGTGTCTAAGTAGCACTTTACACTGGGATGCTCCCCACCACCCTGCTGCCTCCTCCTCCCGTTCCAGAGGACCCTCCGGCAAAAGACTGAAGGGGGATGCCCAATAGCCTTAATATGACAGCAGAGTATTCTTTTTTTTCTTTAATTGAAATCTTAAGTTGTCTCCCAATATCTTCAGCAAGATCAATAACATGCCACTTAACTGCTGTGTGCTTCAGTTTACGTATACATGTCTTCTGAGCTACCTCTTAGCTGTACGGTGCACGGCAGCTCATCGGGCAAGATGTGATCTGAGATCCCAGAAGGAAAAGAGCAAAGCACTAAATAAGAAAGACCGTCCTCCGCCACTGCACATCTCTACTTCCCAGTTATTAACAGTTTCGTTGTCCGCTGCCAATTTTAATTTGATTTTTAAAAGTTGTATTTGAACAACGTATTTATTTAAAAAGGAAATAACGCACAAAACTCCTCGCAAACGTTTTTGGAGTTAAAGAAAATCAGTTTCAAACGCAGCCAAATTCCTCCGACCCACATAGAAGACTTTCCAACAGCACTATTGCATTCAGCCTCCAAAAACATTTTAATTGAAGTATGTTTACCTTTATTCATTTAATATTGTCCAAAAAATGTCATCTGTTCAGTATCACTGCCACACAAGGTGGTTATTATAACCCCTCTTTCATCCCGAATGGCTAGAAACGGGAGGCCAGCCTGCCAATATCCTTTTGGTGAAAGTACAGACAGATCAAAGCCATTCTCTGGAATGCTCCAACAAATAAGAATAATTTAATTTCAAAACTAGTTTGGATTGACTAATATTTACTTGGCTTAAAGCCCATTGGAAATGAAAACATTCCATTTTGGTCCATTCATGAAAGAGGTCACCCTCTCCCCCGTTCGGACCTGAAAAACCTCTGGTTTCAGATAGCTGTAACGGGATGTAAAGAACGTGGATGTAGCTCTTTCCTGTAAATATATTCCCTTCCTCAAACCGAAGGGAGAAAGCGGAAGGTCTGCCTCGTCATGGGACGGGTTTAAAGCCCTGACCTTGGGCTTTAAACTTGTATAAAACAATTCAGAAAGGGATTTTAGCGTGGCACATCTCTGAACCTCTGGCTTAAGGCAGCAGAAATGCAATTATCTCTAAAAGGGCCCAAATGCTGTTACTAGGTCTAAAAAACCAAAGCCAGATAGACAACGCACCTGTTTGTCAGCACATTTTGTTGGCATTAGGACAACTCCACCTTTTTAGGTATTTGTTTTTCCAATGCTGCAGTTATAAAGGTATGGAGACTGTGTGTAGGCAAAGTACAAGCAATTCTGAGTAATAATTTCTTCTTTCTCAGACTTGGTTTCTGTGTCTGTAAAGGTGAGTTATTTATCTTCAAAGGATTTTTTTAATAGATGACTTCAGCAACATTTGGACGTGACGATGAAGCGAACAAAATCTTTAAGCTCAAAAGAATTAAGATCACTCACGTTATTAGCTGAAAAATACTATCCACCTTCCAAAAACAAATAATTGTTTTAAGCATGTAAAGACATCTTTCTTTTCCACTTAAGGCTCTGGAAATCTGTCCGGTTTTGGGGAATCTGTCATAGAGGATCCTTTACAGTGGGACTGCAGGGACAGCCCCAGCAAATGCAGGATTCCAGACCTCCGGATGAAAACCATGAGTTTAGCTGGCAAGGGTGAGTTTTCCCTGAGGGATGTCAGCCCTACCAGCAATAGGTACATTTCTCTACAATGGACTACTCTGGCTAACAAATTTTAAAGTTTCTAAAAATAAATTTTTTAAAAAAGGCAAGCTGTATTTTACAGCTTAAGCATGTGATTTCTAAGCTGGTTTTCCCCCCATGGTTCATGCAGGGAATTTTGAAGTATGTTATCTAACCCACTAACCACCCACTCTTACCTCCCCCCCCAACACCCAGAGTCTAAAAATACTTATGAAAATGAAGCATGTGTTAGATAGCAACGCTGAAGCACTCAAGCATTACTTTAGCATTCTGCTTTTCATGAGAAAACACTAACAACTAGTAATGCTGAATTTGTTCTACACAGAAAAGCAAAATTGCTGCTGATGACCATTGCCACCTCCAGCTGTTTTTTCATGCAGTTAGAGCCTAGCCAGTGATGGAAAGTCCATGTGTTAGATGGCTTAGAGATTCGCATACGAGGAAAGAAACTTTCCTTCCAATATATTTCCTTCTGAAGAGCTGTTGCAGATGTCGGTGTGATGATGTTTATTAAAGGGGCTGGATTAGGCGCCGGATTAGATGAGTAAATGTAAGCTGCCGCTGTAACAAGTTTTGTTTTGTTTCCGCTATT